GGTCTAAAACATTAAAATAGCTACTTTAAATATTTATTTCCATTATTAGGACTAAACAATTGCAATGCAATTTTAATTTAATTTTTTTTTGAATTTAAGTTATTTCATTTCAATTTCATTTCCTAGGTTTGTATTGATATATAAAACTTTAAACTTTTCTATTTAAATCTTGTTTTCGTTATTTTTAATTTATTTAAATTAATTTAAATTATTTTTATTAATATTATTTTATTAATTTAATTTTATTTTTGTTTTGTTTTGTTTTATTTCAATTTTATTTTTTCATTTCATTTCATTTAAAATTATTTTCAGTTAAATTTTAGTATTCTTAATTTTTTATTTCTTGTAGTTACATTTTATTTTGTTTTATTTTATATTATTTTGAATTTCTTCTTGTTTCACTTCAATATATTTTTTTGTTTATTTTATCTTGTTATATTTATTTTTCCATTTTATTTTTAACCCTTCTTTTTTAATTTGTTCTATTTGTACTACATTTTTTTCTAATTAATTTTTTGTTTATTTTTGTTTTTGTTACGTAATTTGTTTGTATTTGATTTACTATTTTAATTATACATTTCAATTAATTTTTGATTGTTTATTTTGTATATATATATATTATTTTGAGTTGTTTATTGTATTTTATTTATTTAGTTTATTTAATTTAACTTAATTTTATTTAATTTAGTTTAATTTTTTTATTTTATTTTAATTCATATTAGTTTTTTCTATTCTACATTTTAGCATTTTTTTTTTTTGGTGCCAAGAAAAAATACTTAAATCAATTTAAAACACTCACAAGTTACGCCATATTTTCCAATCTGTCAACATTTTGAAATTTCTACCAACTTCATCAATTACACACAAGGAACTTTAAATTATTTATCTGCCCAAATATCAAATTAAAAATACGTGTTTTTGTTTTTATTATTAATTTTTATATAAAAAAGGCCACCGCAATTGGCGATAATGGTTTAATATATACTGTGTGTGTTTAACAAAGGATGAGTAGTTATATACAGACAAATTTTTATAATTTCAAATTCGTCATATTTTGAAAATTCACAAAAACAACAAGAGGTAATTTCCGCTAGAGGCCTGCCCTGTGATTCCCCACTTTTAGAACCCGTTAATCGTTTATGTAAAATAAAATAAAAAATAAAAGATTGACCCATTTGAAATTAGAAATAATTTATTAATAGCGGGCGGGCTTCAATATATGTGTAATGCATGTATACATACATACACAGACATATGTTTATATGTAACGAATAATTTCATCAGAATATGTAACCTCGTTCTTCTTCGTTTTGAATTTCTAAAAGATTCTTCTAGAAGAGTAATAATTACATATATCTAAAAACTAGCACCTTAGTGGCAGTTAGACACATTTACATATGTACATACACGTATGCTATGAAGACTACCCAACAAGACAGACAAGACGAAATTGCAAAAATATTTTTTTTTTTTTAATTTAATTTTTAATCTTGCAATCTAAATAGCAAAATCAGCTTTCCTTTTTTTATGAATTAAGACATTCAAGTACTCGAATTTTGTTTGCTCAAGTTTTCAAAGGAGTTCGGTGTGTGAGTGCCACTCATGGACCGAATTTCCACTTACCAATGGCTGTAAAATCATAACAGAATCGACCCATTTCCGAAGCGGATGATTGGTGGTGATGAAAAGTGGAACACTCGCCGTAACGATAAACGAAAGAAGCCGTGATCGAAGGGCCAGAGAGAGAGGTAATACTCATCGACAGTGACTCGCCAGAAGCTCCGAGAGCTTGACTGGGAAGTTTTTAAGCATCGAGCTTTTAGTCCGTTCCGGTCTATGGCGAATAATTTGACTAGTGAAATATCAACTTCAGGAGAAGCCTGTGAAAATCGATTGTCCAGGGACAAGGATTTCTATGAGAGAGGCTTATTGAAATTACATTGATAATGGCAAAAAGTTATCGAGAAAAACTGTACATATTTGACATAAATGGGATAATTCTTAAATTTAATGCAAAAATAATGGATGACATTTTACTAGACCTAATATATAACTAAAGTGGAATTGACTTGGTTCAAGTTTAAGAAGAAAATACAAATATAATGATATATGTATTTGTCATAAATCAGTGACCTTTCGGCCATACGCTTACATATTTACATTTACATACGAAATTATTATACGACAAAATTTCTTTCAACATACACACAATGTAGGTATGTACATACATATGTATGCCTAATGCAACATGAGCTCTGGCATCCAGAAATCGGGACAAATCTCACTTCAATTGAAGAGAAAAAATAATTTCGTTGTAGATGTTTGTACTTTAATGTTTAAACGAGAAAACCAAAGAAACCCAACATTCCTAAGACAAACTGAAACTATTTAAAGAGTTGATATTTGTCAACTGAAGTGGCGCCTAAGACGACTAATTCAATTTCTATCAGAAAACCTAAAAATTAAATAAAAAATAAAAAATTTCATATAAATGCTTGTCTTCAGCAATTTTTGACTTTTTTTACTTCTTTTCAACAAGTAGCAAAGTCAGTAGTCTTGCTTGCTGCTCTACTCAACATTTATCACCTACTCTCATCTTTTCACACATACAACACAGACACACACACACATGCAGGTACAAGCATTTGCACTGGAATGTAAGATTTTTTTCTATTTTCGCCAAGTGATAATTTGTTATGTAAACGAAAAATACATATATATACGCACATACATATACACATATATATGCACATACATACATTTATGACTAACAATGTGGTAATTTAGTGGAACTTGTTATGAAGTTCGCTTAACAAGTACACTTACAAAGTGTTATAAAGAAGAAGAAAAATGAAAAAAAAAAAAGTAAAAAACTTAGGTTTGTCATAAAGTGCACACAAAATTGGTAGCAATGTGTGAGTGTATTTCCAAAGTAGGCGCTAATCAAATGGTTTACTTCTGCACATACGTACACACATAGCGATCCATACTGATCTGCTCAGATTAACCGAAATAAGGTGATGATCATTCAGTTGTTTGCCACCAGTCGGTTGGAGTAATATTCACCGATGCTACACTCATTCCGGCAAGGATTTATAAAAATTTCAAATAATTCAAGTTTTTCAATAGAAATGCCAAAAAGTGTTTCATTCAAAAAAAAAAAAAAAAAAAAAAACATATACATAAAGCAATTGTTGAACTTGGCAAGATGTCGGAATAGCTGAATGTGTCCTTTTTCAGGGAAATTCAAAACCACGGCTATGCCTCATCTAGTCAATTGCAGCGATTGTGCGGCAGCAGAAGAAGATAAACGTCAACTAAAAAACCTATTTCAGTTGGTATTTCGGGTGAAAGAAGATGCTTGGCTGTAAGTGGGTTTAAAAAATACAGATTTTTGAATGCCTCTATTCTGGCGCCATCGAGCGGGTTGAAATGTATAAATCATTTCCATGCGTTGTTTCAAAGGAAAGTTTTCTTCAACTCCTTTGTGCATGTAAATATGTAGACGAAAAATATCTGAATTGTGTTCATTGTTAATTCAGAAGAATTCCTAATTTGTGTACTCAATATTTTAGTGTAGCGTTGCCAAAAAGCTACGTTTGGGCTCCAAATAAAAATTAACTGATTAGCACTTCTTTGTTTGAGTGTCGCAGGGTGTAACTAGAGATCGCTTTTAACATAAAAAAATTGTAGAAAATTCAGTTGGGCTATGTTCGGCTTATGTAATATGAAATTTGTGTCTTCTATGCAAGTACATAACAACACATTCAAGTTTGGTAATATATAGTTATTTAATTTAAACTTTTATTAGCAGAAAAATTTGTTGTCTTTAGTTCCTTTCATATCTCACAGGCAGAAAAAAATTTAAAAAAATAAAACAAAATAAATTCAAAAAATTAAAACAAGTAAAAGGAGTAAAAAATAAAAACTGAATTAAGTGAAATACAATAAATTAATATAAAATTAATAAAAAAAAAAATATTAAAATAAAACAAAACAACTTAATTAAAATAATAAAATATTGTATAAAAAAATAAAAAAAAAAATTAAACAAAATTAAATAAAAAGTTGATAAGACAAAATTAAATGGAAGTAATTAAAAATTTAAGAAAATTTAAAAAAAATATGACAAAATCAAATGTTATAAATATAAAATAAAGAAAAATTATTTAAATTAGCTTGAAACAAAAGGAAAATAAAATAAAAAAAGTTGTTTGCTATAGTTAAATTAAAATTAAGTAAAACTAAAACTAATATATCAAAATAGTAATAATAAACAATAAAAACGCAAAACTACTCAGAACTATATGCATAAGCTGTAGTAAAAAAATAAAAAACAAAAAAAAAATTAAATAAAATTTTGTAAATTCAAATATATATATAAGAATACATGTATAAAATAAGCTAATATAAAATAAAAAATAATGTAAAATAAATTACAACAAAGCAAATAATACGAAATTAAATAGCATTAATTTATATTAATTTTATTTCTTGTAAATTATTAAAATTATTTTAAACTAATTTAATAAAAAAATAAATAAAGTAAAATAAAATTAGTTTGATTAAGTTAATTAAAATAAAATAAATAAAAATATTAAAAAAAAATAAAATAAGTTAGAGTAAAATGTAATAAAAAATATTAAAATAAGACAAAATGAAATAGAATAAATTTACTTAAGAAGCCAAAAAAATAAAAAATAAAACTAAATAAAAACATTAATTTAAAATAAAATTTTTCCGTATTGATTATTATTAAAAAATAAATACAACAATATATAATTCAAAATATATGAATATATAATCAAGTAATATAAAAAAATTAAATTGAATTAAATAAAATATACAAAAAATAAATAGAACAAAATGAATTAAAATAAAATAAAATATACAAAAATAAAATAAAATAAAATAAAATAAAATAAAATAAAATAAAATAAAATAAAATAAAATAAAATAAAATAAAATAAAATAAAATAAAACAAAATAAAATAAAATAAAATAAAATAGAACAAAATGAAATAAAATAAAATAAAATACGGTATGTACCGAATATTAATGTAAATGGCCTGCAAATTATCTAAGCGAGCTGCCACATATAAAAAAATAAATACTTATTCACTTATACAACTCAAAACTTGAACCCATCTATAATTGCCGCAAACTCTTCTAAGAACGAGTGAAATCTTTCTATGCGATGCAAATGCAAGCAAAATATGTATCAACTAGGAACCAACTAGTCAACTTTGTGTATTCCCTTCCACTTTCAGACAAAAGCATTTTGGTCATGACCAACCATAGACTAACAGATTTCGTTGGCGTAAACAGGAACAGTCTTTGTTACATAGCACACATATAATGAACTTAGCTGCACCACATCAGAAGCTAAGCAGCAAAGGAGAGCTTGTGGCAAGTGACATATGTACATATATGGTGACTCCTCATCTGTCTCACCCCTTCTTCTGCCACTCTCACTCGAACCACTAGCCGCTGACAAAGTTCAAGTGAAAACATACTTGACTCTGTTGTGGTAAATCTCATGTGGCACACGTTTGACATTCTACTTGCTGCCGGTGGCGAGCAATGAGTGGGCACAGGCCCAACCGCTGGCAGCTGAGAGAGAAGTGCAAAAAGTGAAAAACAGAAATCCAGAAAGGCTAAAGGTAAATAATTTGCGAAGTATCACCAAAAGCTTGGCATAATTTCATTTCTTTCCTTTTTAGTGTTGTAATTAGAAGGAACATAGCTAATAGCTCCGAGAAGGAGAGAATTGACGTGTGTTGGCAGCGATGAGTGAGTTCTCAAAGAAATTTCAAATTACAATTTAGTAGGAGTAAAATGTTAAATGAATGTTGGGCATGCCATGAAAATTAGATGGAATCGGAATTTGAATATTTTGAGGTTAGATGCTATTAAAATGTTGAAATTTTTAGAAATTTTGCTAAAATTGACTTGCATAATTTTGTGTCATAAAATGAGTTGCAAATGCGACTTGATGATGATTGGCTGAGTAAAAGTGGTATTTTTACGATGCTCTTAATTGCACTTTATTTCGTATGTGTGTATGTCTGTGCGCTTTTTTATATGATTTAAATTAAAATGCATATTTTCGCCTGTGTAAAGACAAAAATTTTATTTCTCTCCTTCCACTTCAACTCAATGCATGCCTAAAATGATTTTATTTCAACTTTTCTCTTGTTGAAAAACATAAAATTTACAACTCAAATACGCCAACTGTCATATAACTTGACTAAATTGAAATTTACGCGTATAAAACTTGTTTACGGAATGGAATTTCAAAGTTTTCTGTGTGCACGAAATAAATAATATAAATCACATCTATATACATACACTTACATACATGTATGTATACATATAAATATATGAGCTTGTATGTATATATAGCTGCGAAAGTCAAATCAATTTTTGTCCATCCCAAGCATACGAAATTTTCGCCTCGCCGCGTTTTGCGTATTGTATGCGTTTCCAAAGTAGCCATCAAAATAAATCCAAAGCCATAAATGCAAGTGAAATTCAAAATGAAAATGAAAATGGAAATGAAATTGGAAATATGCACAAATCTGCCCTGCGAACGAAAAGGATAATTTTGAAATGGACACATGCACGCATGCCGCTATCAATCTGCTGCTGTTGGCTGCACAGAATGCAACTGTTTGTGTTGTTGTTGTTGTCGTGGTCGTTATCACCGAAGTGCAGAAACTTGATTATTCGCCACATTGAATAAACTCAGCGGTTGGTTTTATGGGCTGGCAAATGTCCGGGTAGTTCAGGTATGTATGCGAACGCTTTTAGTTGCAGCCTAAAAGCATGCTACACCATTGGATGCTTGCAAAATGAGTTATATGAGTTAGTATGATAATTTCTTTGTAGGGCACTAAGGGTGTGATCGATCCACCGACTGATGCCTAGATAACACCAAATTTATGTCGAATGCTAGTGAAAAATGGGACTCCAAAAGATTGAATAAACCGAATAGGAATTGTCCGCCTGAAGTACAACAAAGCGCCGGGAGCCGTTGACTTACACCCTGAGGTATTCATGCCTCCTTATCATCGCATATAAGAATTTCTGAGAGTATATTGTGAGAAATTGAAGCTCACTACCAACGAACTCATTGGAGTGTGGCAGGGTGGCTCAGACTTGGAAAATCTACAATTGCCAGATATTCACCATGAGCCACATCTGCAAAAGACTCTTCAAAAGAGAATATGAAATACACAGCACCTCTACGCCGACTTTAAAGCCTTCGACAGCAAAAAGAGGAGCTGACTCTATTCTGACTTTTTTTAGTGTCACACAAAACTTACACGGTTGTGAAAAATGACGCTCGATAGTACCAAAAAGGCAATCAGAAGTGGGAAGCGCCTCCCCGAGCCATTCGATATCAAACAAGCTGGTGGAAATAGTAAGAGCTCCAAAAGTAAACAGAGAAGGTGCAATCTTCTCAGCGAGTAATTGCTATCATCGACCTCAATAACCGCGTTGTAAATTCTGCTTTCTTGAGTCTGGATTATGAGGACAAGACAAAGTAACTTCTCTCAAACGCATCCGCGACTCGGCTTCCACTTCGCTATTAACAGTCATAACTTTCGCTTAACTAAGAACCAGCACTAACACCAAACACAGTGGCAAACGGGAAATCAAAAACAGAATCTCTCTTTGGACTGAGTAGGTAAATGAAAGGTAAAGTGTACTCTCTATAAGCAAAAGCCAAGCGCTCCAAAAGCCCCTCATAATACAAATTTGGCTATAAACTGCCGAGGCATGGGCAATGTGAACATCTGACGAGTCAGCGTAAGGGTTTTTGAAAGAAAAGCTTTGGAATAATAGCTATGTGAGATGTACAGAGATAGTGACTATGCTGGTTAGGTCAATTCAGCTCTAAATGTATAGGATGCATTACCCCTTGAAGGAAGGTTTTTCTGCTTACTTCTTCCTTCCTTCTTAAGATGAAGAGCGAATAGGTTTCTACGGTTGCCTCTAGTGGATGGTGAACGGCTAAAAGAAACGAAATTTTCAAGTTTTATGCACACATTTTTGCTGTTCATATGGAAAATATCCGAATTGGGTCTAATTTAAATTTGTTTTTAATTAATATTAAATTATTATTTTTTATGGAAAGTGTTATGTAATTATGGCATACGAGTGCATATAATTTTTGAGATTTTTGCCCAAATTACGAGAATTTAATAATAATTGTTAACTATGTATGCAGGCATATGTAAGCATCTGGGGAAATTCCTTGCTGAGCATAATGTTGCTTCACGTTGGGCTTTCTCAGCTCGCATTGGAGTGTCTCCCAGAGTTTTCGACATGCAATTAATGGGAATGTGAGTGATCATTAAATTACATATGCATGCTTTCACGTTAAGAACACACATATACATACATATGTAGCACACATACACATGTCTGCTGAGAAGGCGTTGCAACAGCACGTATTTTACATTCCTGCCGAATAATTATTTAAATATTACTCTACGTCAGGGCAGACCGGCGACAGCTTTCTACCAAAGACATAGAGGAGAGGCGAGGATTCGAGGATACCATAGTATAATTGCTCGTTCAATGCAAATGAAACGGAAGAATAAGCAAATATAAAGAGCGGAGAGCGGAGAGCGAAGAGCGGGCAGAGTGGAGACTGAGGGGATGTTAAATAACAAAACTATTTACATACATACATACAGTTGGCGGTAATATGAATAATTATAAATACACGTATGTACATATGCGAAGAGATAAATGAGGCGCTGAAGAGAGGTGTGCAAAAAAAAAAAACCAAACACTGTTAAAGCAATAAGGGAGAGGAGGGGGACAAGCAAGCAAAGTCCCTGAGCTTTGAGCCTAATCTTGATATTGCTTAATTAAAAAAACACATTTCATAGCATTCTACAAGGCAATTAATATTGCCTGCAATTTCGCAAAACTAATGATCAATTAGCAAATACATATGCATGTATGTGTGTATGTACATATCTCATTTCACTATTTCAAACCAAGAAATACTTAAGTTGTGAAATTGAACCAAGGTAAAGAAAAGAAATGTGTGACTTTGAATGTGAATTGAGATAACCAAAGGTGAAGTGTAGAATTTCAACTTAATTTAAGTACTCATACGCGTGTACATATGTTTATATACGTAAATACATGTTTGTGTGCATGTGTTAGGCAAATTATAGCTTATTTCATAGCTCCCCTTTGAGATCACGTGCTTGTTCATGTGCGTTCTTTTCTCACAATTATTTATTGCGTCTAACTGAATCTCCTGCTCCAAGTAACTCAATAGCTGGCTCCTCCTTGCCGCTGTGAAAGGAGATACTTGAAATTCAATTTTTTCTTCATTTCATTTACACCTGTATTGTATTGTGTTTGGCTTTAAATTATTACTCTTTGTCAGTCGTTGCCATATAAATCAGCATTATTACGAAAATCCCTTCATGAGTGTTGAGATATGGCAAATCTGACACTGCACAGTGGCACCGTCTAATACGATCTTTTGACAAATATATCTAAAGTGTGGAAAGGAGCTTTCATCTTTTATATCCAATATTCGTGAAAAGATAACAAAGAAGAAAAATAAATTTGAAAAGCTAAACACAGCAATGCCAAAAGACGCCATAAAAGAGTTAATAAGAAACATCAAGCACTGAGTTTGGTACACATGCTGGTGGTTTTAATCAATCTTGGTAGAACTGCAATTTGGGAACGCTAAAATATTATCTCCTCTACGCAAGAATAAGAAACCTAACTTAAAACAAAAGCGCCCTCAGGGAACCAGAGTCATCTTTTTAGGCGGCTTAAAACTCGACGAAAAACGTGAAACATGAGCATGGGCTATCGGAGTCTGCAGTGCCTTCCAAGCAGCACTCTTTGCAATCATGGAAGCCCGGAGTGACTGCCCAAATTTACGGTAGCAGGACAAACAGTAACGATATATTCCATCTCTATAGAGATCAATATACATCAATAAAGAAAGAGTCTGAATAAACTCCCGACTAAGTGTGAATCTGCCGTCATCTGTGCATCCCAGACGAAGATGAGGAAGAGTCTATTGAACGATACTTCTGTCATAGTACAGCCTTGACATCTGAATGAATGGTGAATAGATAAGATTGTAATTAATTATGTGAAGCGTTATGCACGGCGTCGGCTCGACGCAATACGATGCTTCGCCTGAAAAAGTCGTGCATTGACGAAATTAGGTGAGACGGCACCCCGAAGGGGTACACTTGAGGTATAGGCGGATCTAGACTGAGGATAGTCTAGACATTCCGTCAAAAGCCCTAAGTCTAATAGAGTACTTTTTCATATGTGAAGCTTGTCAAAACAGAATATTAATGTATTGGATCGCGTGAAATAAGATCAAATGTAGCTTTCCATTAAGTACTGGAAGCTCTGCAAAGTTTCTGCCGTATTTTCGACAGCAGATATTGGAACCTTTGCCAAAACTTTGAAAGCATTTGAAGCGCTCATTTTTCATACAAGCAGTCAAAGTATGGCGAGTCAAGAAGTGCTGACTTTTCATTGGGCCAGGAATTTTATTGTTAAACCATGGAAATTTCACTATCATTGTTAATTTGATTTGGCTATTTCTTTAAATTTAGGGTATTTTAGTGATCTCTATCCGATGATTGTTAAGCACAGATTCAAAATTATTGAGGTATACTGATATATATTAGTTTATAGATTAATTTATTAGGGCTAAACTATACTAAGCCACCTCCGAACGGCTGATGGTTTTTTTTTTTGAGGAGCTTTTACCTCATGTCCGAAATGCACTCGGAGGGGTGGACACTCCCTGCCGTGGGGCGCCCGCAATTAGAAAATTTAACTTAATTTTTTTTTTATTTTATATTAATTTTCGATAATTTTTGGATATCGGTCATACTAGGGTCTGAACCCGAGTCTTCCGAATGTCAGTACGCGAAGCTAACCGCTCGGCTACCGCGACCGCGGTCCAACTATCGATTGGACCAATTCCAGAGTATACACTTCCCATTAAAAAAATTTAAATTATCAAAACCGAAGCGTTCTGTATAAATTATGTGTGGACAAGCATAAAGGCGATGAATTGAGAAACTTATTTTTCCTCGTCTCGAATTACTGGCAATTACATTACAGTGCGATACTCTGGAGTTGAATGAAATCGATTAACTTTACAGCAGCCTTCTCAGGCAAATATAAATCTTAGAAAATCCTCCACAGGCTTATAATAATAGTAAAAGTGAGTACACTGAACTTGGGAGGCATGCATTAGCCTCAAAAACGGCACGAAAATGTATTTATGTATTTTGAAAATATCATATTTGGCGTGGAAAAAGGTTTCGAAAGCTTGTTGAAATGCCTACAAAATATTGTTAATAAAGAGTTTCAAAACAAACACCACATTTTTCGAGCGGAGTTTCTGTTTCCATTTCCACATCTCAAAACTTAGATAACAACCCTCGTATATTGAATGAAAACAAAAACTTTTAACGCTCAAACTGCGCTGGTCTTCTTTATTACGAAAGCGCGCATTGTGACCGAACAATTTTCATTATTTATAAGCTTTGCGGAACAATGAGTTTTCTTGTATGCACGTGAGTGGTGTTTTCCACAAGTGCTTATGTGTATTAGAGGTTTTTGTGCGTGGAGAAATACGAGCTTTGGGGGATCATATATTAAGGCACGTGCTCTAGCGTTTCGTGGCTGCGAAAGAAATAAAGAAATGGATGCAATATAAAGGAGATTGATAGACTACGCATCTTTTATTTATGGCTTTGCATTGTTTTGGCATCTCACATTGGCTTCCGACTGCGTGCGATTGCGTCTATTTTCGGAGGTAGGGAGTTTAATATTCTACTAATTTTCCGATGCAACACCCTGTATTTTCAACCAAAATGTTTAGCTTAGAAAGAGTAATCCACTATTTAGAGTTGCGTAGCTCGCGTTCTATAAGGCAAATTGAGCTACGCTTGATTGGATTAGAAAAGCGATGAAAAGTGGATCGCTTACAGCAACGTCAAACATAAGCGGTCGTGGTCGAAGACCAGTGAACACCGATGGTAACCAAGCCAGGATTGACGATTAGGAAGGTTTTGTGGTGTGTTCGGTGAATGGGCCTAAAAGGAGATGGTCACCAATCAAGATTTTCACAAGAAAAATTTGGTCAGCGATGAAGCTCACTTTTGGTCACGTTAATAAACAAAATTGCCGCTTTTACAGTAATAATGATCCGGAAGCCATTGTCAAAAAGTCACTGTTCGGTGTGCTCTATGGACAAAGGGAATCGTTGTAGAAGGAAACTTTTGGTCAGGCATTACCTCACGTCATGTCCCGAGACGATTGTTGCCTTAAGTTATGTACAAAAAGTGGTCGATAATTGCGATTCTCGGCCGAAATTCATTCGAGCAAGGTCTGCTGCGGCTTGCCTGAAATCATTTTAGAATATAGTGACAAGCCCTTATCTTTATTAGCTAAGCTCGTGGCCAATAACATTAACATAATATTTTTTTGATAATCACAAAGTTGCCTACCTCAATAAGACTCAACTTTGTCTACAAAAACAAAAAGTCATATATCTGTCTCAGCTGTAAACTCTTTTCCAGCCATCATCTGCTGATTTCTATGCTGCGAATTTAAGCCTTCTCATTTCACTTTAGCACTCACTCTCACATTCTTCGATGTCTTCGGTTTCATTTCGAAAATGACAAACGAGCAGCGATAAAAGCGAAAACCACACGGCGACTAAAGGCACTTAAGACGCAAACTACTTGACACGAACTAAAAGCAGTTTTAACGGTGAAACAGTGCAGGTGCATGCGTGTGTTACACGCGGAGGTAAAGGATTGCAGAGAGGACTTGGTATGGCTACGTGGCTGCTGAGTTTGGAGATAAGTGCAGCTACCGTTGAACACAACGTTTACCGTTGATAAAACGATTGACAAAGTTTTACGCACTGAGAGAACATCTATAAAGCGTTACAGAGAAGTATTAAATGGTGGTATAACGCGGATTTTCAGCATGACGGGATGTTCAGGGTAAAGAAGCAGCTGTGACATTTCCAGCCCCTCATCATAGCTGCGAACAAAGCTATTGACTTGCGAAAAGCTGCCCAAAGCAGCTGATGCGTTGAGGATTGCCATGCGGCAGTGGAAAGAAACCAATCTGCATACTTCACAACGTTGGGATCAACCACTACACTTGCGGGATGGGATACATACCGAGAGTTGAGAGCGAAGCAAGAAGCAGTTGCAGGTAAAAAAGAAAGAAGCAGAAATGCGTGTATTTGAAGAACTTCAAGAACTGGCCGAGGAAAGTAATGCTAGAAAACTCTAGCAAAAGGTTTCAGAGAGGGGATCTGGTGACTGATGCCCAGCATATACTGAATTTGAGGGACAGTGAGAATGAAACACAAGGAGACTGGTGAGTCCGATTCCCCAAATAGATGTAAATGGAATAGAAGTTTCATCACCCGACTATGAAGTAGCTCGAGTAGCAATCTGCTGCTTGAAAAGCATCATGGATGGATGGCTTTCTGGATGAGGTATTCAAAAACGGTGACGAAGAGTTGATAAGATGCATACATCCGCTTCTTTGCGAAATATGGCCGAATAAAAGTATGTCAGACGAGTGTCACTAAAGTGTTCGTCGGCTAAGCCTTCGCAATATCGCATATAATATCCTATCGAGTGTATTGCATAGAAGACTAAAGCTCAGCGTCAAGAAATTTAAGCGTTGTTTTAAGCCTGGAAAATCCATAATTTAGCAGATATTTATTATCACCGAATATTGGAAAAAAGAAGCGGCATACACCACCTCTTTGTCAATTTTAAGGTAGTCTTCTACAGCACGGAAAAGAGTTGCCTCCATGCTGCTGTCTGAGTAAACTGACGTTAAGCAGAACCAAAGGCTTCGCCAGAATCGGGAAGGACTTCTCCGAACCGATACCAAACGAAGTTTCACAAAATGTGACTCCTTATCGTGTGGCTTCTTCAGTTTATTGGTGGAGAAAACCATAAACCCTGCAGAGCTAAATATAGACGGTCGATCTTTAATAAGACTGGGTCCGAGTCGTAGTCGTAGTCTTTTGGCTTGGAACCAGCATTGACACCAACAACAATGTCAGCCTGGAAATTCAACTTTTGCTACTTTGGTCTGAGCAGGCAATTGAAAAGTAAAGTCCTCTCTTGACGAGCAAAGGCCGAACTTTACAAGCCGCTCAACATTTCTGTCCTGGTATATGGTGCCGAGGCACGGACGCTGAGAACTTCTGATAAGTCGACGTTAAGAGATTTTAAGAGAAAGGTTTTTCTAAAGATTTGTGGTCCTTTGGGCTTTGGTAACGGTGAGTATCGAAGTCGATGGAATGATGAGCTTTACGTGATATACGGCGACATTGATTTAGTTCAGCGAATCAAGAAACAGCGGCTGCGCTGGCTAGCTCCTGTGGTTCGGATGAGTAAGAATACTTCAGCTTTGAAATTTTTAGATTGAGCTAAGGGCCCAGGGAAGCAGAGGAAGACGAAGACCTCCTCTTTGTGGGAAAGACCAAGTGGAGGAGGACCTGCTTTTACTTTGCATTCCAAATCGGTACCAGACAGAATAAAAACAAGAAAAGGTAATAAGAAAACTACTTAGGATATTAACTGTGAGATATTTTTTTTCTCTCTCTTTTTATTTTTTTTACTTCTTGCTATCAAAGGATAACAGCTCGTGTGGCTTACACTTCATACAAGTACAGTAAATATTTAAGCTTTCGCTGTTGGTTTTCAGCGCTTTAACGATTTTATTAAGATATTTTGCGGTGACTTCATATACTACTCTAAGAGATGAGTGCATGTGTATGTGTTTGATGGAATATTACTTTCAAATGAAATGACAGCTGAAACGCTTCCTCACCCCATTGGGCAACATAACCAGTTTCATCGTAACGAGCTTTTATATTTCTTTCACAAACACATACATACACTCATTGATATATATTCGTATGTATGTATGT